AAGTACCGCTCGTGGCCCTGTCCACGGACGCGGGCTGGGCCCCACACGTCCAGGTGGAGAGTCTGCAGTGGAGCCTCTGTGGGAGGGAACGAGGAGGAGTCAGGAGCGGCGCGCTGCCGCCCCTCGACGCAGGGAATGCAGGGCGGCGCAGGCGAGGGAGGGAGGGGAGGCAGAGACCTGGGAAGACCAGAAACCAGGAAGCGGGAGTGCATGCTGCGTAGGCGAGGCAAGGAGGGGTGACCAAGGCGGTGGTGCCACAGGAGAGTGTCGTGCGACAGCCAGCGACACTCACACTGTGTAGCTACCTGAGCAGACGCGTGCAACTGGGGAGACAAAGGGGCGGAGCGTGACGCAGTGGTGAGGGTGTACAGACTGGACCCTGGCGCACAAGCGAACGTGGCTAGGTGGCGACCAGTCTGGGAGCACGTGCAAATCGCCACACGCTGCCGGCCAGGGGTGAAGGTGTCAACCCCCGCATCCTGGAGGACAGTGTTACTCACCAAGTTCGTAGAGAACGAGGGGAGGTGGAGACCAGACAGCTCACCAGACGGGACCGCCGGACACGGAAGCACAGTGGAAGACCGTGCAAGCACTGGGCCCCCAGAGGGGTCAGCCAGTGAGACAGGAACAGGTGCAGGGAGGGGAGTGACTGTGGTACTGTCGCGAAAGAAACAGCGGGAAGCACCAGAGTCAAGTGTAAAGGTGTGCAAAGCCTGTGCAGGCGCAGTACCAAGGGGAGCAGACTCACAAGCACCTAGTGCTGCAGGGGCTATACCAGGGGCTATACCAGGATCCGGCGGCACACACAAGTAGCAGTCACCCTCAGCACTAATAGACAAGGCATACATAGCAGCAAGAATTGCCTCATAGTCAAGATCAAAGATAGGTACATCACGCCTAAGCAAGTCTGCCCAGTTGGGGAACTCAGGAGCATCAGGAAACTTGGCGTGCCAGGCGTCGCTAAGCCGAGCGAAGCAGCGCTGCTCAGTGTGAAAACCTGTGCACTGGCGACCAGCGCGGGGACCTGTGCGGATGATATAGGGGCAGCGACCAGGACCCCCAGAAGCCCCACGCCCGGCATACCAATCAAGGAGTTGCTGGGAAGTGGGGGTCTGGCGCTGCTGCTGCTGCGGCTGCTGCTGGCCCTGACCACCAATGCCACTACCGCTCCCTCCTCCCCCACCGCCGCTGCTGCCCCCTCCACCGCTCCCAGTGCCTCCGCCGCCCCCACCACCACCTCCACCGCCTCCACCCCCACGACCACCCCCACCACTTCCACCTCCCCCGCCGCCTGCACCACCGCCACCTCCACCGCCACCCCCACCGCCCCTGCCACCCCTGCCGCCCCTGCCGCTCCGACGCTTCCCACTAGGAGCGGAATCAGCTCCGACCCCCTCAGCACCAAGGTAGTCGTGAGCAGCAGCTGCGGAGGCGTAGGAGGGGGTGAGAGGGGAGGGGGAGCACCCCTCAAAGAGGGGAGAGCGAGGAGTGCCACGAGCAGCACCTACAGCGAGGATGTTCTTCTCTGCTGCGAGGAGGTGCTTCTCGAAGTCGTCGACAGTGAGAGTGGTGGGGTCTAGCGCTAGGAAGTGGTCCCTGACAGAGCTAAGAGTGTCAGGGAGGCGGGTGACGAGGAAATAGAGAGTGAAGTACAGCGGGGGGGGGGTTTGCGGCGCAGAACTCGGCTGAAAGGGCGGCACGAAAGCGAGAGTCAGTAGCGCGCAGGTGAGAAACTAGGTCCTCAGCAGTGGTGAACGAGGAAAGATCGGGGAACAGGTACGGTAGCATGAGTCGACCTATGGCTGCAGTGGCCGGGGAGGAGTAGCGCGCAACTACAGCGTCGTACAGTGTCTTAGCAGTTCTGTGCTGGCTGAAATGCGCTCACTCAGTAATTGGCAGGTGGTTCCTAATAGCTAGGCGTGCAGCAGCATCACGAGTCTGCCACTGGGAGCGTTCTAGAGTAGGAGCATCAGCAGCAGGAGTAACGGCAGTGCCAGAGACGTAATCAAACAGGGAAACGCCCTCTTTGGCATCAGTCAGAAGGAACAGCTGGAGATCGTCTAACCACACAGTGAACTCGATGGGACGACCGTCAGGCTCGAACGCTAGAACGTTGGGCGTCGCCATATTGGCTTAAGGCAGGAGGCAGCAGGCAGCAGGCAGAGGCAGCAGGCACCAGGTAGGAGGCAGGTGGCAGGCAGGCGGCAGCAGGCAGCAAGCAGCAGGCAGGCAGCAGGCAGACAGCAGGCAGGCTGCAGGCAGGCGGCAGCAGGCAGCAAGCAGGCAGGTAGGCAGGCGGCAGGCAGGCGGCAGCAGGCAGCAAGCAGGCAGGCGGCAGCAGGCAGGCAGCAGGCAGGCAGCAGGCAGGCTGCAGGCAGGCGGCAGCAGGCAGCAAGCAGGCAGGCGGCAGCAGGCAGCAAGCAGGCAGGCAGGCAGGCGGCAGGCAGGCGGCAGCAGGCAGCAAGCAGGCAGGCGGCAGCAGGCAGCAAGCAGTAGGCAGGCAGCAGGCAGGCAGCAGGCAGGCGGCAGGCAGGCGGCAGCAGGCAGCAAGCAGGCAGGCGGCAGCAGGCAGCAAGCAGCAGGCAGGCGGCAGCAGGCAGCAGGCAGGAGCGGCCTGAGGGCTGCGTGAGGCTGCTGGCTGCGTGTGGCGGCTTGCTACACGAGGCTGCAGGCTGCACGTGGCTACAGGCAGCGCGCGCGGCCGCAGGCTGCGTGCGGCGACGGAATGCGCGGGCTGCGGGCTGCTTGCAGCTGCGAGCTGCGCGTGGCGACAGGCAACATGCGCGGCTGCAAGCTGCATGCGGCTGCGGGCTGCGCTGGGCGACGGGCCGCACGTGCGCGGCTGCGGGCTGGTCGCTAAGCTGCGGGCTGCGCTGGGCGACGGGCCGCGCTGGCGTGGCCTAACCAGGTTGCGCGCGGGCGGCTTAAGGGGCGCACAGGTGGGGCCGAAACGAGCTGCGCGGGCTGCTGAAGCGGCGCACGTGGAAAAAAAAAAAAAAAAAAAAAAAAAAAAAAAAAAAAAAAAAAAAAAAAAAAAAAAAGACCGCCCGAGGCGCGCGCGGGCAGCCGAGGCGCGCGTAGGCACTAGACAAGGCAGGCAAGCGTGGTGGGCCCTAATCCTAGGTCCTAAGGACCTATGCTCTATACCATGTTAGAATCGTAGGCAAAAAGTGATGTCGACTATCGAGAGAGTTGGTACAAAGAAGAAACCTAAGGGGTTGTACCCCACAGTGAGTACCCCACTAAGCCTACCCAAACTATAACGTATATATATACATATGTTTGACAGTCACTGGTCTACACTCCAACCTTCAGTTCGTTTTGGTAAATGACGTTTTCAACCGTCAGATTTTGTTGGACTGAAGATCAACGGCATTCTCATTCACAGACTATTCAAAATACATGGAGGCTATATTTAGAAGGTAGGAGTGTAAAGAATTAGAATTCCTTACTGTTGTCAGTTGTTAGTGAGGACAACCCCGAGGGCCACGCGTCAGATGGTCCGGCCTACAATTCCGCCCCAAACTATTCCTGAGTCGCCCCCGCACCAATCATCACCCTTCCGAGCCATCTTCGTTTAGATATATTTCCCCCTATATTTTCCCATCACTTTCATTGGATCTTGATTCAATTAGTCACTGTTTGTTTCGACATTCGTTTACTTTGCGCGCTCTAGAAGTCATTCATAACAAGCCCTTGTTTCTTATAAGCGCATGTTACAATTCGACACCTGTTTTCATCCTCACGAATTATCTGCCAGTCCACCCAGACAATTTCCGTGCCTAGACTCTCTACCCAATTCTGAACAACCTCTGGGGAAAGAAACATTGCGTCGAGGGCTGCGTGCGGCCATGTCGGAAACGTCCGCTGTTAGCGGCGTCGAGGTGATATGCCGCCATCCCTCCCTCCCCGCGCTCGTTGCGTGCGTCGCACTTGCCCTCGGTTCCCCGCGCCCCCCCTTCTCACTCCGTTTCTCCTCGCATCTCACCTCCCGTCTTGCGGCATCCTCAGTCTGCTCTTCCGAGACTCAAGCTTCGTTATCGCCCGCTCTCGCCTCTCCCACTCTCTCCCCCCTCTCACCTCCGCGCTTCCCCTTCTCACCTCCGCGCTCCCCCTCTCAACCTCCGCGCTTCGCCGTGTGCGCTTCCCCCGTGTTCTTCCCCTTGTGCTCCGCCCAGTGTGTTTCCCCGGTGTGCTTCCCCCTGTCCACGCGTTCCCGACTTTGCAATGCGTTGTCCCTCTCTCAAATCCCTCTCTCTTTCCCCGTAGCCCATCCGCATTCTCCTTCCCCACCTCCAGCCCTCGTGCTCTCTACTGTCCCTCCGTCATCACTCTCGTCGTTCCTCCTCCCCTCCTTCCCACGCACACACCGTCCTCTGGCAGAGCCAGGGCCTCCCCTGCCATACCAACCTGCATGGATTCAACAGCAGCACGCCCCCTCCCCTTCCTTTCCCCCCGCTTCACTCACTCCATCCACCACTCTCCTCTCCCGTTTATTCGTTTCTCCCCTTCCATTCCATCTCACCCTCCTTACCCCTTGCGTCCCTCCCCTTTGTATTTCCATCTCCTTGATACTTACGCTCTCTCCTTCCTCTTTTCTCTCCTCCATATCCCTCCTCTGGCCCTCCCACAGCAGCCCGCCTCCCCCACCAGGTTCGGCCGGTGAGCACCAGCACAAATCCCTCCGCTCCACCGCCCCGTTTCTAGAAGCGGCTGTCTTACTGAGAGCCCGCTAATCCAACATCTACCAAGCAGTCGCTGTTTCCCCTCACCACCGCCATCTCATTTCACCTTCCACTCCACAAGCCCCTCAAGCACGCCTCTAAGCCGCACTTGTCCGCGATGCGCTGGCTGCTTGTCACCATGGGCGCGTCACTTGCCAGGCGCCCCTCTTCCTTTCTGTTGGCTCCCACGACACACCTTGTTCTGCCCTCGCCCACCCGCCGCTGATACCACCGTGCCTCTCCCTGCTGCCGCCTCTCCCTGCTCTACCCGTGCAGCGGCCAGCACGCACCCCGGCGCCCTCTGTGTGTGCTGCTGCCATGCCAACCGCACGGCCTCGTCTGCACTTAGCGTACGCACCAAGGCTGTGGGCACCATGGGTGCTGTACCACGCCCACCTGCTGCTGCTCGCGTGCCTGGCCTATTGTCCTGCCTCGCACGCACAGCCATTCGACCGCAACCAGCTCAGAGGTGCGTCGCCTGCCGCCCTGCCACCCTGCCCTGCCACCATGCCCTGCCACCCTGCCCTGCCGCCCTGCCCTGCCACCCTGCCCTGCCACCCTGCCCTGCCACCCTGCCCTGCCACCCTGCCCCTGCCCGTCGGTCTGTCATGTCTGCAATGTTGCGGTAGCCTTTATTATGCAAAACGAGTGGTGCAAGTGTGTCGCTCTATATATGCTTGTTTTCCGATGGTGGTTCCATCTCAGGCCTGTTAGGTTTAGGATCAACATGAGCAAGGGGTCACCTCTGAGCCATGCAGTCTGCAAATGATTTGCAGACCCAGGTGTGTCACCAACGTGTCCTTTGAAGCCATAAACAAGGTCAAGCGCATTGTGTTTTTCCGTATTACTAGCAACAAACTCATTTGAAACAACACACCTAGTTCCGCCCGCCTTCCAGTTGAGTGCATCTTTCACAAGTGACCCCTTGCTCATTTGAGTCCCTGTCGCACACCTTCACTGGAACCACATGCATGTGCTGGCGAATAGATGCAACAAGCATTTATTCCTCTCCATGCGTGCTTAGGAAACCACCATAGCTGCACCTTTCACCATGCATATGCAAACGCCCTATACCTCCCTTTAACGTCGTCACCACACCTCTTTTGTCCCCTGTCCCCATGCATCCACTCCCTCACCTCCAGACTGTGCTGACATCATGGCAGTGGGAGTGGCTTTCACGCCCTTCAATGCCACACACAACTCAGATACCACCTTCCCCAATGCCACCTCCCCGGATGCCACCAGCAGCAGCGGTGGCGGCAGCAACAGCGGCAACACAGCCGGGGAGTGGGGCCATCACATGCGGTACCGGAGACGAGATGGGGAGTGCTGGAGCCGAGCTGAGATGGCATGCTATGCCGGGCACGGGCGCACAGTGCATGCACAGTCACAGGCGCAGGCTCAGGCTGAGTCACAGGGGCAATCAGAGGCAAAGCAGGAGTCAGAGGTGCTGGTGCGCAAGATGCATGAGTACCAGCGGTACCGGCGGGAGTGCCTTCACAGGGAGCCCCTGCAGCAGCTGCGCGCCACACTGCTGGCGGGCAATGGCAGCGAGTGCCGGTACCTGGTGTGGCAGCACAACCCCGACGGCCACGGAAACCGCCTGCTCTCCCTCGTCTCTGCCTTCGCCCTCGCACTGCTCTCCCGCCGCATCCTCCTGCTCGCCCGCCCCAACGGCCCTGCAGCGCTTCTCTGTGAGCCGTTTTCTGAGGCGGGCGAGGGGCCGGAGGGGTCGTGGGTGCTGTTTCCCGGGGAGGGCGTGGAGGAGGAGATGAAGGCATGGAGCTTGTTTGCTGAGAAGGGGGTTGAGTGGAGCCAGGCGTGGGAGGTGTGCCAGCAGCAGCAGCAGGGTCAGCAGCAGGAGCAGCAGGGGCAGCAGGAGGTGGAGCAGCAGCAGGGGAAGAGGGATGGAGATGGTATGGGTGGAGACATTAGGAGGCGGTTGCTGTCTGTGGCTCCTGATGCACCTGCACCACAGTCGTCCACTCCCCCATCCCTGCCATCCCCTCTCAGCAATACCTCCGATCAACTTCCACCACCGCTGCCACCGCCGCCACTGCTATCACTGGCTGCTGCTCCTGGGGCTGACAGCAGTGCGGACGCACATGATGCAGAGTGCACCGTTCCACCCATGTACGTCAAGTTGCCGTGCCTGCTGTACTGCACACATCATGCCGCTTGCATGGTTTGCACTGTAAGCTGCCATTCCTGCATGCCTCTGCTACGCTGTCTGCACTCGTAGCTTATACCTACTATGCTCCACTGCAGTCCTGGTAACTCTTCCCTCATTTGCTCCACACCCCTGTCACTCCTCACTCTTCCGCCCACACCCCCTCCCCCCTCGATCACCCCCCTCCACGCCCCCTCAGACTGCGAGTGGATCTCTTCCACCACACGCCCCCACCAGGCCTTCTCTTCTTCTGTGACGTTCACCAGCGCTGGCTGGCCCGAGCGCCCACGCTGCTGCTCTCGTCCAACCAGTACTTCCTCCCTGCGCTCTACCTCCTCCCCTCCTTCCGCCGCGCCCTGCTGCTGCTCTTCCCCACGCACCGCCCCTTCCACTCACTCGCCCGCCTGCTGCTCTTCCCCTGCAACCGCATCTGGGCGCGCCTCACAGCACGCTTCCACGCGCTGCTCGCACCGCTGCCGGGCAGGGTGGGCGTGCAGGGGCGCTTCTTGCACTACTGGGACGCGCAGCGCGTGAGGGAGAGGACACTGGTCCTGGGGCACTGTGCTGGGGAGGCGGTGAGCAGGCAGCTGGCAGGGCAGCCTGGGGCTGCTGCCGTGAGTCGCAGCGCCGATGGTGCTGCTGATGCTTCCAGTGGTGCTGCTGCTGTGGGCGGTGCAGAGGCAGCAGGGGGGGTGGCAGCATCAGTGATGGTGGCATCGCTGAATGCTCACTTCGCTCACAACCTCTCCCGTTTGCTGTCCAACCATCTGGGGTACCCCGTGCACGTGAGAGGGGCTGTGGAACCTGCTGGCAGCAGCACCGGTAGCCAAGAATCAACACGAGCAGGCACAGAGACGCCTGACAGCAGCAGCAGCCCAGTGGAAGGTGGTGCGCTCAGTGGCAACAGCACCACCAGTGGTGACAGCAGCAGCAGCAGTGGGGGCAGGGCGGAGGTGGAGGTGGTGCAGCTGACGGAGGAGGAGCAACAGGACAACAGCGATGGGCGTAACGTGGATGATGCCATCATCGACCTCTTCTCCCTCGCTCTCTTCTCCCACTCCCTCCTCCTCTCCCCCACCTCCACCTTCGGCTACCTCATTGCTGCCCTCGCCCCCCACACCCCGGCCCGCTTTGCCTCCTCCTCCTGCCCGCCTGCCCCTCCAGAGCCGTGCTACCACCACCCCCCCACCCAGGACCAGTGCCCTGACGGCCAGCCACTGCTGCTGGAGCGGGCCGTGGCTGCGATGCCCCACCTGCCTCTCATGCGCTGTGCTGACCTCTCACTGGGGCTCGCTCTCAACACTGCCGCTGCTCCTGCTCATCATCCTGGGCAGTAGGCATGACGGGCTTTGGCTTTAGGCATTCTTGCCTAGGTGCGCACGTGCGGTTTGGGAGCAAACTTACGGTATTGATGGATGACAACTGATTGTCGTGTTGTTACGGTGCCCCACCCCACTCCCAGGACCACTACTGAAACGGAATTTAATAAAATATACCGTAAGCAAACAGCACAGTTCCAGATTTTACACACACAACTCAACAAACAATCCTCAAGCAGGCATGCTGAACAGGTGCAATGACTGGGAAGGCAAGTGGTGAGATGTTGTAGTCTCCATTGAGTGGAAAAGAGAGGAGTCTGTAAAGAGGGGAGGGTAGAAGAGGTCTCCTTGAGTGGAGGCTGCATTCCCCCCTGTGCTGCTGCAGAAAAAGATAGTCCACCGCTCTCCTCTTCTACTTTCATATACTGGTACCGTCAGGCCCCGGATAGTAGCGCCCCTGGGGGTATAAAAAAACACTGTTTTTTAGGGGGTGCGCTTATAATCGAGGAAATTTATCAGCGCCGGCGTTTATAAAATGGCAAAAATGAAATGTATTGTTTTAACATGAAATTGAAGCTTTTTCAAAAGAGGATTCAATCCACATCTAGAACGTTCGTTTCCGTGCATGAAAACTGCGTGAAATGGCCAACAAGGCGTGGAATCACGCCCATCACGCCTTGCTAGCCTGGCCAGATTCATCGAACATGAATCTGGCCCATGCTAGCGCACACGTAGTTTCGGGTGTGACTGCCCAATCAGGGTCGCATGCCGTGCCAGGCACGACTCTGTACAACCACGCAATTGGCATCCCCGGCAAGATTCCACTCCACCGAGGCAGTGACCTCACCACCTCAGCTCCTCTGCGGGGGGATCTTGACAGTTTTCCCCCTTTCCCTGCAGAGGAACCCGGGCCGCGAAGTTGGAGGGGTCTCTTGCGAGGGTTTCAAACGAGGCTCATTCGCTTGGTTTTGTTCAGTTTTATTGTTTTCCCTCGGCCTGCCTAGGCCATGGCGGGCCTTCCAGGCACTCACTTCCTATTTAGCCGTCGACCTGTTGTTGGCAACACTCGCGAGTACTCTCAGTGGCAGAGTCGTCGCCCAGCGCCTCCTGCTCCTCCAGCGCCTCCTGCTCCTCCTGCTCCTCCTGCGCCTCCTGCTCCTCCTGCACCTCCTGCTCCTCCCGCTCCGCCTATCGTCGTCGTCAACAGTCGGCCCGTTCTACAGCTCCTCCCTCGCGGTTACTCAGCTTTCGACGCGTACATCTCCGAGCCCGAGCGCAGCGGCGACGATGAACCCGGCCCCAGTCTGTCGCCACGCTGGGGAGACGCGGAAGACTGCCCGTACGACGAATCCGCCACTGGTGCTGAAGACGATGTTGAGTGGTGGGCGGCCGACGGTCTTCCCGAGGACCTGCCTGTCCCTAGTTTCCCCCCGCCAAATAAGAAACGGCCCCACCCCTCCAACCAGAATCGTGATGCCCGCCCCCCGTCCCCCATGAGCAAGCCTTCAACGCACAAGCGCAACTCCTACACTTACCAGGAGAAGCTGCAGTGGATTGCAAAGTTGGAGTCTGTTATAGTCACAATAGGCTTGAATGTGCCTAAAACGAAAGATAGAGAGCACAGACGGATTTCTGCACAGCGGCTTCAAACGTTGATAGCGTTCTGCTCACAGCTGCAAATGACTTGATTCAAATTGGATCTGGAGCGTCTTCACGTCGTCTACAATTATCAATTTAGATTGCACGATTTGATAAAGAATTGACGACACAGCGTCGGTTTGAACGAACGGTACTATGGCAGCCACTATAGTCTTAGAACACAAGATAGGAAGAGTTACGAGTTGGGAATGACTCCCAGCTCCTACAAACCCCAAGAGCCGAGGTACAGTGATGTGGAACAGTGCCACACTGTCCCCAACCACGAAGGGTCTCGAAACTACCCTTCACTAGGGCCTACACCAAGTGAAATGTTACACTACACAAAGTAATGTAACTATCTTCAATATCTTGAGGTGTACCCTTTTGGCGAGCTTCGAAATCACTTGAGGCTTGACACCAAGGCTCGGGCTCTTCATCACAAACTCATCCTTGAGTTCTTGATGGGTCTGCTGCACACACCTGCGACACGCCGAACGTTCGACACAGGACAAAATAGAAACCGCGCACGACAAAATAGAAACCGCGCGCGAGACACAAACGACCGCGTAACACGCGTCTAGCGATAACTCGCTATTGACTCGACACACACACTCGACATCATGACTCAACATTCACACACAATTATAAGCATGAAATATACATTATCCCATGCCCTCATACCATTCCATACACACACACATTCACGCACACGGACAACAAGCCGAGTGCAAACCGTAGGGTTGCACCAACAAACTCCCCCTCGGATTGTTGGCCTTAGGATATGTTGCTCTCTCAGTTCAGAGCCATCCCAGCCAGCTTGCAACACTTCCAATGCTGCTGCTCCACCAGCCTCTTGGTCATCATGTCAGCCGGCTGCCCCGTGGTCTTCACGTAGCGCAACTCAACTTCACCCGCGGTTACCATGCTCCTCGTCCAATGCCACTTCACCCTCATGTGCTTCGTGAGTCCATGCAACACAGGGTTCTTAGCAAGAGCAATGGCACCCTGGCTGTCACAGTACAGTGGGGTAGGTCCTTGCTGCTCCTCCCCCAATTCAGCCAACAAACGCCGCTGCCACACAATCTCCCGTACGGCACGGAAGAGTGCCATGTACTCGGACTCCACCGAGCTCAAAGCTTGGTCAACCTGCTTCTTGCTCTCCCAAGCAGTTGGGCCTCCACCAACACAGCATATGAAGCCTCCCACACTTGTCATGTCCTCTGGTTCTGATGCATATGAAGCATCCGAGTAGGCGGTGAGGAACAAACGCCCGGGTTCAACACCATCCGCGCCCTTTTGGCGCCTTTGTGCCGCCGCCGAGTATTGCAGCCCAACGGTCGGTGTTTGGCCAAGATACTTGGCCACCCTCATTCCAGCTGCTACCTGCTCCTCATTAGGGCATTGCACAACCCTAGCCAGCTGCCCGGTAGCAAACGCGACGTCCGGTCGGGTGTTTACCGCCGCATACATGAGGCTGCCCACCAACGAGTGAAATCGGCGCCTCTCCTCTTCACCAACGCTCTCCTCCTCTGGTCCCTTCACACACTTGAACCCAGAGGGAAAGGGTGTAGCCACATGGCCTTCACTCTGCCCAAAGTTGGCAGCCAATGCCTCCAGGTACTTTCGTTGATGCACCCGCATGCACCGCTTCTCCACATCTCGTTCGATGTGGAGCCCAAGGTAGAAGCTCACGTCACCAAGGGCCTTGCACTTGAACTTGTCTTGAAGCTTCAGCATCACCTCCTTCACAAGGTCAGAAGAGGGTGAGAAAATGAGGATGTCATCCACATAAACCACCATGAAACTCCTCTGCTCCCCTCGCCAAGCATGAACAAGGAGTGATCGGCCGTTGAGGGAGTGAAGCCGATCCCCTCCAACACTTCGCGCAGCTTCATGTACCATTGCCTAGGGGCCTGCTTCAGCCCATAGAGGGCCTTCTTCAGCTTCCACACTCTGCCACTACCATCATCAAACCCCTCTGGCTGCGCCATAAAAATCTCCTCCTCAAGGATGCCGTTAAGGAATGCCGTTACGATGTCCATTTGCTTTACTACCCATCCTTTGATGGCGGCTCCCGCGAATAGGGTTCGCAGCGTCGTCGGCTTCACCACAGGGGCAAAAAGCTCCTTGAAGTCCACCTTCTCCTTCTGCTGGTACCCCTTGGCTACAAGCCTAGACTTGTAGCGCTCGATCTTGCCGTCGGCATCCGACTTGATTTTGAAGAGCCACTTGGACGTTATCGCCGTACGCCCCTCCGGTAGCTCCACCAATTCAAACGTGTCATTCTCCTCGATGCTCTTCAGCTCACTCTCCATGGCCTTCTTCCACTCCTCAGCATCACTACTCTCCAAAGCCTCCTTGAGAGTTGCTGGTTCTCCCGGCATCTCCAACCGGAGAGAAGAACGCGAAGGCACACTCCTCGTAGTCACTCTCCTCGTCGTCTCCAACCATCATTGCCGCTCCGGCCAGGGCTGTCTTGCCCTGCTTTCCCGGCGCATCATAGGTCAGCCTATTAGGGGGTTGAACTCTCCTCTTCCCCCTTCCTTCCTCCTCAGCTGCAGGGACTTGAAGGCCTTGGCGTTGCTGCGGTGTGGCTCGAATCCGTGGAGCACTCGTAGTACGGGAAGGAAGTGACGGTGCACGCTCGCTCATTTGCTGCACCTCCTCCTCTTCTTCCTCTGCATCATTGGCCTCCTCTCCCCCATTCACAAGGGAGGATTGCCTTGTGGTTGTGCTGCCGCTGCTCAGTTCCAAAGGCAGCTCCACATGCTCCAAACCGGAACTCTTCACCTCCCCAAACCGCACGCCTATCTTCGCCTCATTCTCCGCCTTCCAATCCTTGTACATGAAGTTCTCCATGAACTTGCAGTCCCTGCTCACCAAGAACTTCTTGGTGAATGGGTCCCAAAGAAGCCATCCCTTGCTGTTTTGAGCCATGCCCAAGTGCACGGCCCACACCGCCTTGGCACCAAGCTTGTTGTGCCGAAGATGCTTAGGCACGAGCGCCATGCACATGCACCCGAACACCCGAAGCATATCCACCTTTGGCTTCCTTCCTAGCCACTCCACATAGGGCACCCATTTGTCTGCTCCCACATGAGTCAAGGCTCTGTTCTTGGCCATACACGCGCTCCGCACCGCATCAGGCCAGAAATAGTCGGGTAGCCCGGCTTCAATGAGCAACCCACGTGCCGCCTCCGTGATTGTGCGGTTCGCTCGCTCGGCGATGCCGTTCATTGCAGGGGAGTATGGCATGGTGAGGGAGTGCCGAATACCATTCTTCTTCAGCCACAACCCAAACTCCTTGCTCAGGAACTCTCCCCCTCGATCGGTGCGGATTGACTTGACTAGACGGTCTTGTTGCCGCTCCACCATCGGGA